AGGCTGTAATGGATACAAACTTTTCAGCTATTTTTCACCTGCCAGGATTCAATTTGTAGGTGATTATTCTTCATATTCTACGTCAGTAATGATACATACACACACACACACACACACACACACACACACACCAGCTGAAACTGATGTCATGCAGATTATATTTTCCCCAGTGCTGAGGAAGTTTTCTTTTTTCTGAATAATTTATCAGCTTTCTGAGTCCTGCATATATTAAAACTAAGTTTGCTACCAGAAAATTAATACAGGAACTGTTTTATAGGTGTGGCTCCAAATCTTCCAACTATACCTTCAGCATCTGACTTCAATACAGTAATGTCTAGTGATCAGAACACATTGGATGGAACTCATTCACAACACAGTACTAGTCAAGATGACATTGTTGGTATTGAGGAGGCGAACCAGGGACTCCCTGCTGTTCAACTTGCTGATGCACAGGTATATGTTTGTCTTTAAAATTGGAGCATATGTATGATAAGAGAGCCAGTCTAGTATAGTGGTTAAGGCACCAGTCTAGAAACCTGGAGACTGTGAGTTCTAGTCCCACCTTAGGCACAAAGCCAGCTGGGTGATGTTGGGCCAGTCACTCTCCCTCAGCCCTAGGAAGCAGGCAATGGCAAACCACTTCCAAAAAACCTTACCCATAAAACTGTAGGTACTTGGAAGTTATGCCCATTTCCTCCCTTGCCTTCTTTCTTGGCATTAAGTTTCCCACATCTTCTGTCTTGCAACATTAAATTTTGTTTATAATTAGATAGGCAGAAATAAGAGTAGATTTTAAAGTAATCATAATAGGTATCAGTGTATGTATAATGCTAACAACACAACACCTATGAGGGGATTCATTTCAAAGAGAAAAGGAGGTTGCATCCTGGTTCTGGCTTATGATTTGCATGAAGCCATTGTGGCTGTCAGTCTTCACACCAGCCACTACTATGAATCCTTTCTCTCCAGAAACTTGTCAATTCAGTAATTAGCTAACAGCAGAAGTTTCATAATTACAGCAGGCTAAATAGGTTGTTTCACTGTGGGGAAAAAGAGTTGGATATATGCAGATTATTTTCTACTGCAGGATGGAAGACTCAAGTCCTATATTTATATATCAGCCCCAGGGTTTAAATCCAAAGCTTTTTACTCTTGACTTTTCAAGTCAATAGAACTTTGGCTGTTCTTTTCCAGCTTGAGAATTGGAGACATGCATTTCCTGTCTCTGTAGTTTTGACAATCTTTGATTTTCATCTCTCTAGCTTCAGCCATGTATTGGCATGAGCAGAATTACAAATACACTGTTTTTCCTTCTTTTTGTTGGATTCCATATTAAATTGAAACATAGACATAGATATTAAATTAATTATTCCAACCTGTAATCTTTCAGTGCTTTAAAACATTGGAAGCACTTCAAAAGTGTTGTAATATTTACATGAATGAGAAGCAATTGTAATCTTTCAGTGCTTTAAAACATTGGAAGCACTTCAAAAGTGTTGTAATATTTACATGAATGAGAAGCAATTTTAATAGTTATGAATTAAGGAAACACTTGGCTTTATTTTTGATAGGTTGTTTTCAAACCTCTTCTGAGTCACACAGGAATTCAGTCTCAGGATGTAGTACCATTCTGCTATAGGATGTACTTTGGTGAGCATCTCTCATTCTCAGGGACTCTGGATTGCCTTAGGGCAGACATTGTTGATTCAGATACAGCAAAGGAGAGAAGAAGCAAAAGAGCACGAAGGTATGGCGCTCAAGCTCCAAAAATATATTTCACATTAAAGAATGTTAACATGTTACTTAATTACTCCAAAATATTTGGAAATGTTTATTGCTGATTTTTTTCCTCTTTGGGAAGTCAGAAATAATGCAGCCTTGAAGAAAATTATGAATTGGCATAGCAGGCAAATTAGATAGTCATGGAGTTGAGATATCAGTCTTTGAAATGTTACCTATAGAATGTAATTTCAGTTGTTTTTATGGTTCTGAATGTAAGAGTAATTCTTGTGACCAAATATGTGCAAGATTAGGTAGATTGGATTTAAATTTTGGCTTGAGGATAAGTGGTACAGTGATTATTGTTGATAATGATTTTTTATATATATATTGCATCTACACTTTGCCATTTTGCTGTCAGTACTCTTTTTTGTTGTATATTATATTTGTATGAGTGAGGAAACAATGATATATCTCTCAAAGTAAACTTATTCTAAGAAGCAATTTCTACTTTCATGTCAGTTCTTTCTTGACAATTAGACATTGCAAGACTATTCTAGAAAAAACATCAGAGTAAATGTCTAATATTATAAAAAGCTGATAGCCTTCAAGAACAAATTGATAATAACACTGAGATAAATGTTTATTTTTAAAGCTTTGTTTTTATTTCTTAGGCAAGGAGCAGTAAATCTTCCTCCACTTGAATTCAAACCAGCATTAATGTTGGAAACTTTTAGTATTAGTGCTGTTATAATGGAGAAGTCAGTGAATGCACCTCAAAACTCTACCAATGCTCTTGCTTTTCATGACTTTAACAAACGTCATTATAGCACGTTTCATTGCAATTTTACAATCTCTTGTCAATCTATAAGCCAGCATGTGGATATGGCACTAGTTCGGCTTATTCACCAATTCAGCACCATGATAGATGATATTAAAGCTACACAAACGGACATCAAACTTAGTAGATATACTGCTGGTTCAGCTTCTCCAACACCAACCTTTAAAACTCGGAAACACAGAGACTTCCGTTCTTCTGACTTCAGTCGCAGTTCTCGAGGCAGCCTTAATGGTGTCAACAGAGTGAACAATGCAAAAAATAAACGATCAAACAGTGAGAATAATAAAAAAGAATGTCGAAATAAAAATTCACTGGGAAGGGCAGAAAGAAGAACTTCTAAAGTATCCAGGAAAGGTTCCAAAGATGTTGTTGACCATGTGACCATTCATATGGATGACTCTGATTCAATTACAGTGTCAGAACAAAGTGAACCTTCTGCAGAGTGCTGGCAAAATATGTATAAGCTATTGAACTTTTATTCACTTATCTCAGATCCTACAGGGATTTTAGAAAAATCTTCTGAAACATTTTATCCAGGAGGTAAGAAAATCTTTGGTGAATTGCCATACATTACATCTGTGGGAAAGGGCAAATGAATTGCAGTTCTAATGTTTGTTGTGCAAATTTGGCCCATTATGTCCTTGCATGCAATACTACAGCACAAATACAGAAGAGCAGAGCTTGCATCTTTATTTATTACATTTATATAGCTGCCCATCTTAAAACAACTATTATTGTGATGCATGATTCATAATTTCAGTACTTTCACTGTTAGGAACAGATGCCTGTGCTGATGTATTGGGTTTTTTTTAGCTAAATAGACAATTTAGCTGGCAATTAAAATGGCTAAATTGGCAATTAAAATGGTTCAGTTAGATGGTAAATATTTGGTTTTTTCCAATAATGCAGAGAATTTGTAACTTAAATAATGTAGATGTAATGGGCAAGAGGAGGAAAATAATCCTGATAATGATAGAGAAATATAAATGAAAAAAGACATCAAAACTGAAAAGCTACTATCCAGAAGAGGCCTTGCTTTGTAGATGAATGAGACATAAGTACTTTTCTGGCTCAGGATCAAAACCCTTTATTAAAAGCAACTCTGGATTTAATGGTTTTATTATTTTCCATACATTTCATGTATGGAATGATGATTGGATATAATGTGCATCATTGCCATATTTAGAAAGTTAGCATTTATAGCACTTAGAGAAATCATTAGACTCAAAATTTTATCTGTAAGAATGGCAGCTTTTGATAGTGCCTGCTTTTGGGCATCATAAGAATATACATACAAATCTGTATCAAAATCCAGTCCTTGGTGGAAGGGCTAATACAATAATTTTGTACCTGACTTTATGAAAACGGGAAGTCTTTTGTTTACCCAGGAATAAAAAGAATTAAGACAATGAGAAAGTTCTCAATCCCATTATTTATATGCATTATTTGGATGTTCAGAAATGTGAGGTCTATATGTAAACAGCTGTTGTTTTGGTGGCTTTGAGTCACTCTTGACTCCTGGTGACTACATGGTCAAGTCTATGCAGCTTTCTTGGCAACCTTTTCAGAAATACCTTGCCATTGCCTCTTCCTAAGGCTGAGATAGGGTGATTGGCTTGAAGTCACCCTGTTAGATTCTGTGCCTCGAGCAGGACTAGAACTTACATTTCCCTGGCTTCTAGTCCAATGTCTTTAACCACTGCACCGAAGTGGCTCTCTCTGTATGTAACTAGTTACAGACCCCATATTATAACTATTTTAATTTCTGATGGTGGGAACTTTAATTGTTAAACTGAATTTAATGGCAACACTTAAAGTAATGGTTATTCTAAATTTTAATTCAAATGTTGACATTTTAAACATTTTGAAGGATGTAATGCACCACCAGCTTTCATTAAATTCATTTATCCATGTGAAGCAAGTATCATCAATTTACAAAGCCAAAAGCCTAAAATGAAGATGCTTATTATCTAATGTGTTTACTGTGTTCAAGATATTTATTATGTTTTACTGCTATTAAGGCTAAACAAAGTAGCCTGCAAAATAAGAAGTAGTACAGATAATACAATTATGTGAAAATAGTAATTAGTAATATGTAAGAGTAGGAACCCAAACATTAAGAAAATGCTAAATAAGTGAATTTTCACACTTCATTGAAGACGTTTCATCAAAGAATTCCTAATGGAATTTTCTCCAGGGGTGTAGTTATTAATGATAAACCTTCTGCTTTATACTTTGCCAGTCTAATTGTGGAAGTGAAAAAAAAAATCTCTACTGTCTTCAAAACAAAGGCAGTCCTATATGGTGTAGGTAGCTCAGATTGGTTAGAGTTAAAGGCATATTGAATTCAGCAGAAAACTGTGTTAAGTACTGTCTTGTTAAATTCATGCTTGATAGAGTAAAAAAATTTTTTATGAAGTAATTGTATTTGAATAAATTCTATCAATATTTCTTGGTTTGGTTTGCATTTTCTGTAGGAATTCGGAGCCCTACAGAACCCGCATGTAGGGTTGCATTTGAGAATGAACAGGATAACAGCAGTTTGAGCAGACCACAGAGGAAACGTAGTTTGGTCACATCTGAACCTCAGCATGTGACCCTGATAGTCTTTGGAATAGGCATGGTAAATCGGACACATCTTGAAGCAGATATTGGTGGGTTAACAATGGAATCAGAACTGAAGAGAATCCATGGTAGCTTTACACTCAAAGAAAAAATGAAAGGTAAAAGTTGTATGTCTGTGTGTCTGTGTGTGTTTTAATTGAAATAAATTTGTTTTGGCTAATTATAAAAGTGAGGAGTGGGATAAAGAATATGATTTATAATACAACAATATGAGCCAGACTATTTTTGGAGAAAAATTGTTTCTCTTATTGAAATAATGAAAATATGATTTGTTCAATTTATTCTAATGCAAAGGTAGTTAGGATATTGCTTGGAATCTCAGATTAGACCTGGGTTCGTAGCCTTATTTAACCATGAAGCTCACTCGGTGACCTTGACTAATACCAAATCTCAGCTACCTTCCCTCATTAGCTTATTCATGGGAATAAAATGAGGATGGTATTATAGGTCACTTTACGTTACTGTATTTTGAGAAAATGGAGGATATAAATGTAACAATATTTTTTAAAACCATGAGAAACTGAAAAACTACATTAGTTGGCCCAAAATATATTAAAATATTTTAAGTTCAAAATTTGATATTAAAAATATTTCCATATGGTTTATTTTCTCCAAAAATGTTAGAAATGTCTTTACAAGTTTATTGTTATAAGTGTCTTAAATTTTGCCTGATGTATTTCTAATAAGAATTGTGCATGAATGCCAATAATAAATAATTTTTCACTTTATTTTAAATATCTTTTTTTCCTATTAAAGATGTACTGCATCAAAAGATGACCGAGACATGTGCTACTGCTCATATAGGTGGTGTTAATATTGTTCTCCTGGAAGGGATCACACCAAATATCCAGTGAGTGTGAAATAAAAGTGATATTTGAATTGTCATTTATAAAGGCAGAAGTTATGCCCAGTATAAAGTTTAGGTTCAGTCCAGTCCTAGTAATTTAACTGAAATGTGTTAAGGACTGCTGTGTGTAGATGGAGCAAACAATGGCAAAGATGTTGCAAAAATAATACCTTCCATTTTACTTTTAGGGTTAACTGTAAGAGTTAAAAATAATCATTATTATGAGTCAAATATTCATTAATATTAATGAGTTAATTAGCTACGGTCTAAGGTTTTCCTGAATAGCTGGTTCATACCAGGAAATGGGTAAAGACCAATGGACCATTTTGGTATGACAGGGTTTTAACTAAATCATTAAAATGTGTTAACCCTGCCACACGTATAATTTTAATATGATGTCTCTAATATATTGTCCTTTGGCCTTTTTTCTCTCTCTAGCAATTAGATGCATTTAACCTAAATATAACAATTCAGTTTCAACCTATTGCTATTTCTTGTACCCTATTTTGTGTTTCATGCTCCTGTAACTGTAACTGTAACTACAGTTATGGAATTCTGTGGCTTGGCAAAATTTCTTCAAAAACACAAAGTTATTTCCTTACTATAAATACACTCTCACTGTATTCTTTTTTGACAAATTCACTGAACTATGTGTAGGAATTCCTAAAAGAACTACTTGTTTATGCAGTGTTATTAATAGATGTAGCTATATTTTTAGAAAGTTTTAAAATACTTCGTTGCATGATAACTAATCATTTAACTTTGATGTGGTTGATCTGATGTTAAAACAGTTGTTCCCACTTATGTGCATTTAACTCCTCTATTTTGCTAATATATTTCATTTTCTCTGTCTTGCACTCTTGAAAGTATATGGTTATTATAATTTTACATTTAAACTCTTTAAATAGAATAGCAATAGCAGGACACTATAAGTATGCTGGATTAACCTTCACATAGTTTATCAGAAATACCTAGAAAATCATCAGTATGTTTTTCTAGCTGTAAAAAGTATTATTTAATGCTGAGAGAATATGGAAACAGCTAATTTTTGGATCAGTTTTTCCCAAACACATTGTCAGTATCAAAGATGTCGAGACTCTGTTAATTCTAATGAAAACCTTTTCTAAATACAGTAAACTTGCATTTAACAAACTTAACTAAAATTTGTCAATTACATACTATCTCAAAAGGTAGCCAGACTTTTTAATGTTTATATAAATGACTTATTAATAATGCTACAACAAAATTTGCATCTGTCCTGAGAGTTCAGTGGGTGATCCAGTAGGTGAAAGAAGTTCTTAACTGATTAAATTTCTCCAGACATTGATCTGAAAGAAATTCTGCACACATCCCCTTGGAGCAGCCAGAAACATTATCTATATATTATTTATACTGAAATGAATGGCTTGCTTATTATTCTTTGCAGTATCAAGATTCACAACTTACCACTGCTTAAACAATATTTTTTTCAGGTATTTGATCATATTTTGAATTAACAATATCTGACTAACTCTTCTGCATGACTGTTTATTCCTTAATTTGCTTTGTTTTGTTTTTGCTTTCATCCACTCTTCACGTGTAGACTGGAGGATTTTCCTACGTCACCAACAAGCACAGCCAAACAGGAATTTCTGTATGTCACATTATCTTTAAATGACTTTCAGATAGCCCTGTATGTAGTATAGCTAGGATGCATTTTATTGTTTTAAATGTAGAGTTAACTAGTTTCATTATGAAATATAGTTGCCATAAAATTTGAATCAGCGTATATTAGAAGTTTTGAACCAAATGTTTGTACTTTTTATTTATTTACAGAACAGGGTTTTAGAAGGGTTTTTTTGGTGTCAGTGGACAAGTCCCTGCAGTTTTCTTAGCAAGATTTCAGAAGTGGTTCGCCATTGCCTGCTTTCTAGGGCTGAGAGAGAGTGACTGGCCCAAGGTCACCCAGCTGGCTTTGTGCTTAAGGCAGGACTAGAACTCATGGTCTCCCTTTTCTAGCCTGGTACCTTAACCACTACACCAAATTGACTCTTTACAGAATAGTTAGGGTTTTAAAAATAATCTTCTAAATTTGTAACTTTTCTAAAGTCATTCATATTGGCTAATAATAAGAGAATATAGGCTTTATTCTATGAGGATGATAAAGGATAAAGTAGTTATGACTTTGTGTTGATTAACAAAAGCCCTCCTATTTCTGTATTAAGCTCTATCAAGACATTGCAACAAAAACTGTTACACATCACAGAAATATTTGGTATAAGTCCCAAAAGTGTGTATAGGATGTCTCATCTAAAGGAGCTTTTCTGTATTCAGTGAGAGCATTTAAAATATTCTCTTGCACAGAGCTGTGTTCCTGACAGCACAGGTTCTAAATAGATGTTTTCATTGCATAGACAGATATCTCTCCTATTGGGATGAGGTGGGGGGAAAGGGAGGTCTAATCCTAACTGTATGACAAGGTCAGGACTTTTCCGCCACACCTGAATAAGCTGCATATGTTACTGAGAAGCTTTGACTATTAAAATAGAGGATTTGATTGATTATGTGCCATCAGCTCATTGAGTCACAGCAACCATATGGATTGATTTCTTTCGTGATAATCTGTCCCTAACCTGGTCTTTCAGGTTCTTCCAATGGTGCACTGTAATTGAGTCCATCCACCTTGCTGCTGATCATCCTCTTTTTCTTTTTCCTTTCACCTTTCCCAGCACTAGAACCTTTTCCAGAGAACTAGGTCTTCACATAATGTGTCCAAAGTAGGATAATTTGAGCCTGGTCATTTGTGCCTTGAGTGAGCACTCTGGATTGATTTGTTTGATGATCCATTTGTTTTCTTGGCTGTCCACATCAATACTCTTCCCATCCTGGTTCTTCAAAGTCCAACTTTCGCATCCATAGAGTGTTACAGGGAATACCATTGCTTGCACTATTTTGATCTTTGTAGGTACAGGCACATCACAGTATCTGAATATCTTTTCCAAGGCCTTCATTGCTGCTGTACCAAGTGCTAGTCTGTGGCATATTTCTTGACTTGTTCCTTTACTGTTGATGGTTGATCCTAAAAGGCAGAAGGTATCTACCACTTCGATATCTTCATTATCAGTTTTAAGGCTGGTTGTTCTACCTCTTGTCATTAGATTAGTGTCCTTTATATTTAATTTCAATCCCATTTTTTCACACTGCTCCTTGACTTTTATTACTAGACCTTGCAGATCCTTTGCATTTGTGGCTATTAGAACAGTGTCATCAGCATAGCACAGGTTATTAATGTTTTTTTCTCCAGTTTTAAAACCACACTCATCTTTCATTCTAGCTTCCCTTAATATATATTCAGCATATAGGTTGAATAAGTAAAAGGAGATTATACAGCCTTGTCTCATTCCTTTGCCAACTTGGAGCCAGTTGGTTTCACCATGTACTATCCATACTGTAGCTTCCTGACCTGTATATAAGTTTCTTATGAGGAGAATGAGATGTTCTGGGATTCTGATTTTTCTGAGCATATTCCACAGCTTGATGTGATCAACGCAATCAAAGGCCTTTCTATAATCAATGAAGGATAATTTTACTAATTAGGCTCAGTTGAACATTGGCCCTTTAGGCTGATGATAATATTATTTGGTAATACAAGATGACTCACTAAAGCTGCTAAACATACTATGTCCTTGTTGTAAATATTTTTAAAGGAGCTAAGCATTCCTTTTTTTTTTTTTAGAACTGTGGTGAAATGTAGTATTGCCAAATCACAAGCTCTTTATAGCGCCCAAAGAGGGCTGAAAACGAACAATGCTGCCATCTTCAAAGTAGGTGCTATCAGCATCAACATTCCACAGCATCCAGCTACTCTTCACAGCATGATGGTTCGCAGCTCTCATCAGCTTTCAAAGCAAATATCGGATCTCATCAGACAGCCATCTGCAGTGTAAGTATTGCAATTGGTATAATCATCATGTGGAAGCCTAACTGACTATATAACCTTAACTACAGTTCTATGACAAAGCAGTGTTACAGTGTTTAGAGTATCTGATAATTTGTATGTGCCTTTTGTATAAATAGTCCACAGCCTCCAAAAGAAGATATTGCAACCCCACTGCCTGCAGAAAAAACACCTACAAGTGTAAATCAGACCCCTGTTGAAACAAATGAATTTCCACAATTACCAGAAGGTTTGGAAAAGAAGCCTATAGTTCTTAAATTCAGTGCCATGATTGATGGAATTGCTATTGGAGCAGCACTCTTGCCTTCACTGAAAGCTGAATACAAAATGGGAAGAATGCGAAGTCACGGAATGACAGGTAATGCATTTCCATCATTATATGAGATATCTTAAAGTAATAGCCATGTTCCCATTCAACTAAAATTCTAATAGATGTCACTGAGATTCAAGGAGTTCCGTCAGGGGCACTTAAAAGTTGGGTATTCCCATTATTTTTTTCTCTGTTTAACAATGGAATTCTGTCTCCCTGTTTCACGCCTGATTGTAAGCTGGTTCTGAGGCTCCTCAGTTCACTGTTCTAATACAGAATGGTAAGCAGCTTCAAGTGTTTAAAATTACTCAGCTAGTTCTGTTTCTCTTATTAGATTAACTGCAAATGCAGAAATTGGAATGGGAATGGAAAAAAATCAGTTAAAGCATTAAAAATTTGGACTGCACAGCATTTTTGATTTGAAGGGAGAAGATGCTTCAGAGGGTGAGAACATAACATCTGTCAGCAACTCCTTGAAGTAGTGTTGGTTTTTTCCAGGATCAAGAGCTACGCTCTGTAATCCCCAGACTAGACATGCTTGTTGCAAGAGCTGACAGGCAGATGTCATGTTTATATCCCTGTGTGTTGTAATGCAACTTTTTCATTTGAATCCAAGGGTTGCACAGACTTATTAAAAATACTTGCCTACTCAGTATATATCATTTATTACTTCAGTGTGTTGTCTGTAAAAATATGCTCACAAATCCAATATTGGTTTTATTTAAAGCAGCCTCGCTTGCTTCCTAGATAGTCTGTTTGAAACTTGAAAAATTTGAAGTGACTATCACTACCAAAGATGTTAGTCACAGTAAACTTGGGGTTGTTACTCTACAGACTTTTGGAGCTCTTCTGAATGTTGGGCACATGTACCTCTCCCCCAAAATGTACAAAAATTACATAGCCTTCTCACTGATATGTTAATTTACAATATACCGGGAGTTTCTTTGTTTTTATGGGAGAATAATTAAAAAATATGAATCCATGTGCATTTGGAAGTAATTCTTTGTACTTAATTGGAAAGTCAACCAGGAGGTGGGTAATTAATTATTTCTATAATCACAGAACTAATAAGATATTATCATACTGAGCATATATATTTTTTCTTTTCGCAGGTGCACAAACAAGATTTACATTTGAGCTCCCAAATCACAAATTACGATTCACTTCCAAAGTCTCTGCCACTGATATGTCTACCATACCTCCTTCAGCTAGTCTTAACCTTCCTCCTGTGACAATGTCAGGCAAATACATTATGGAGGAACATGATACTTACTCAGATCAAATATGGAGTATAGATGAGCTGCCAGCTAAGCAGGGCTACTATCTCCAGGGAAACTATTTGCGTTGTGTTGCTGAGGTTTGTATTTAAGTCTGTCTTTACTATCTCCAAAACGTTTTTGGATTTGCTTTTTATGCATATTTGTAACTTCTCTACTTAACAAAATTATTAGTTTATGATTGTATCCTCAAAGTGGCTGATTTGTAGTTTTCTCCTGGTGTTTTGTAGCACCCAGTTGTTGTAGACAGATATTTGATACACCACAAATTGTCTTTTTTGAGCCCTTCTTAGTCTCAGCACACAGTACAACTTGGTTGATCATATCTAGGCTGAGAAGCTAAATATAGTCAGGTCTGATTAGTACTTCAGTGGGAGACTTTGAGGAAATACTACGCCTGTAAGTTAGATAGGGAAGTAAAAAAAAATATCCTGGTAGATGACAGTGTCAAATTGTTCTATTGTTGCCAATAAAATTAAATAGACATAGAAGTCAAGATCATCGTAAAGAAACTTTCCTTTTTCACCGTCCTACATAATTATCAATTTGAATTATTTAACAATGTAAAAACCACATATCATGAATTAACATTTTAAAAAATTATTTTCTTTCTCCTAGGTTGGGTCCTTTGAACATAACCTTACAACAGACCTTTTGAACCATTTGGTTTTTGTGCAGAAAGTATTTATGAAAGAAGTCAATGAAGTAATACAGAAAGTCTCAGGTAGCCTAATGGCTTTAAACTTTTATTAAGCAACCTGACAGACTAACAGGAATGCTTCTTAGGCCATATTAAGCATAGATAATCTATTGTTTTAGTACTTTTTAAAATTCCACAGATAAAAGCAAGTACTTGATATATATTATGTGGTGGAAATATTTTTAAAGATCATGCATTATTTGATGAGACCAGTGAGATTAAAATTGTTCTGGAATACAGTACAATCCCATACATGAAAGAATTAAGAGTTATGACTCACTGAATTCATTAATTTTTAAGTCCCAGGAAGGTGTTTATTGTACTGAAGCTGAACTGTGCATTTTTCTTTTTCCATTTAGAAATGCGTCCTGTTGAATTTAATGCTGCTTATTCCTAAATAAATGTACATAGGAGTGCAGCTATAATAGACCAATTCAGTTTATTTACATTGTGTGTCATTTTGTAAAACATTGTTTCAGCTACTCAAGAAATCTCAATAATCACTGCAAAGACTATACATATATAAATTATTACGTTTATTTTATGAGCCAAACAAACCAATTGTATTCAGAAGCCAGACCATATTCTAGGGTAAGTTGTCAGACACTAACATTGCATACTCTTGGCTTCAACTATCAAATAATTTTTCCTCATTTTTGGTGCTAGATAACCACTTTTGGGACTCTTTTTCATTACAACTTTATGTTCTTTTGAAGATTATGGAATTTCTTCATTTCAGAAAATAAATTAGGGACAGACTAATCTGACCTTTTATTCTATTTTTCTAAACAAAAGAAATCAGAGTTTATAGCTGGAGTGGAGTAGGATGTCAAATTTTATTCTTATGACCAGAAATCAAGATACTTAACGCACATACACACACACATACACACACACACACACACGCAACCCTTACAGCTTATTGAAGCCTTTTAAAAAATATTGGATATAGTCATGTGTACTTTGCATCGTGTGTGGTTTGGCTCTTAAATTGTGTCTGATAGATGATATCAAATACTGATTTTAATAACAAGATACAAAAATCATTTCTGCAACTGTGTAATTATATTTGTAGGAGGGGAACAACCTATTCCTCTTTGGAATGAACATGATGGAACAAATGATGGAGAAAAACCAAAAATTCTCCTTTATTCTTTGAGTCTTCAATTTAAGGTATTTTTATTTTATTTGAATCTGGAGGTTTGTTTAGGCTTCTTTGAACTGGACCAAAGGTAATTTTTAAAAACAAATTAACTATAACACGAATTATGCATGTATGTGCCTGCAGGGGTGTTATTTTATAAATTACATTCAGGATCTGAAGTGGTCCCAACATGTCTGTAACTCAATAACTGAGCTCATTTTAAATGCTTTTACCTTTCTTTATTAGGGAATCCAGGTAACAGCCACAACACCATCAATGCGGGCTGTACGCTTTGAAACAGGACTGATAGAACTGGAGCTTTCTAATAGAATACAAGCCAAAGCCATGCCTGGTGGCACCAGTTATCTGAAACTTTTTGGTAAATGCCAGGTGGATTTAAATTTGGCTTTAGGACAGATTGTTAAACATCAGGTTAGTGTTTGTTATTCATTTCTGCAATTACTGTTTCACAACCAGTTATGTTATGCTGTTCCCCCCAAAGGATTAAAAAACAAAACATTAAAGGCTCAGTCTGAAGAATCCATTTGAGAGGTTAGTTTGTTTCCTTAAACCTTCAAACTGATTTCCACATAATATTGAATGATTCCCCAGTTCTTTAAAGCAAGAAATATGAGGTCTCTCAGTGGAGCTATATGTGCTATGTTTGTGAGGGGAACTCAAGATCCAAATAAGTGTGCAACAGACTGCCCTACCCTCTCTCTTTACTGTTACATGTTTCTCTGTAAGATCTGACAAAGCAGAAGCACTTTTTGTCCTCTCTCTTAAGTAATGTCATCTGATGTTCCCAAGCATTCCTACCCTTTGGAATAACATTCCCTTGCAGGTTTGGGCCACTCTGACCCTGTAGATCTGAAGTTGATCTTAAAAGCATAGCCCTTTCCCCAGGTTCTGGGATAGGCTGGTATAATGCCCATTAGTGTATATTTTGGCTCGGCTATGGCATATTGCTCTCCTGTTATGTTCAATTTCATGTTATTTTTCTGTTTTGGGGGTATAGTATGGTTTCTAACTGTACACTGCCTGGTGTGGGGTGACCTTTACAAATTAAATTATTCTTAATTTAGATTTATACATTCAATTATAATTAATATAAATTATAAATATAAATAAATAGTAGCAGGTTTAGTTTTTGCTGTTCTATATTCTAACATTAAGTATGTTTCAAATATGTAAAGGTTTATGAAGAAGCTGGCTCAGACTTCCATCAAGTTGCTTACTTTAAAACTAGAATTGGATTAAGAAATGCCCTTAGAGAAGAAATCAGTGGTTCATCAGATCGAGAAGCCGTGCTTATTACTCTGAACAGACCAATAGTTTTTGCTCAGCCTGTGGCCTTTGACAGAGGTACTAATGGGATTGGATCTCTCTCCGTTTTTTTTTTTTTTACAGAAATAAAAGTAGAGGTAGACCACATTATCCATGGTTTTGAGTATCCCCAGTTCATAAATATAGACCAGAATTTGTCTATGGTAAATGGTTTTGCATATTCTCAGCTTTTACCATGTGGTTCTCATCTGTCTGTCATTTTGCCCAGACATGGAAGCACACATCTGGTTCCTCCACCACCACCATCCCAACCCATTTCCTAGCAATCTATAGGATTCTGATAAGAGCCATTTCTTATGGTTGAAATAAGGTGATTGGCAGATAGCAAGACTAGGAGCAGATGCAGTTTAACCTGCCTTCAGAGAATCATCAAGGTTTCACCCACTCTTTCTATCCCTCTGCATCATAAGAGCACTAGAAAACAGAAAAAGACTTTGCCACCAGAATACAGTTTATAAAGAGGCTTCATTGAAAGTTAAGTACTTTCTGGAAGTCTTGTGCTGTATTTTCTAATAAATATAAATAATCATATCCTTGAGGTTTGTTTCATCGATTGTTTGCTGCAGGGACCATGAAGAGGAAAGTCTGATCACCTTATATCATTATCCCCTTCCTTGTATTTTGGATGATTTTTCAATCATTTTCCAAGACTCCAGAACTGAACCCCCCAATATCCATAGGCATAAAATCTTGTTAACCACAGTGTTTGTTGTTCTCTCTGATTGCATGCTAGAATGTACCTCTCATTAGATGTATCTGTATACATTGAAGTTACTATATTTATGGAGAGGATTCTATTAATTTACATTAAAAGGCCAGTTGTAAGAATTTTGCTACTTTGATTTGCTGTCATGTTTATTTACTTTGATGTAGAACAGGATTTAGAAAGATTGAAATTCTAGAGTTATGCAGTGCTTTGGATTCAACTCCAAAAAGGTGCTTTAGAACTCACAGGATCTGTTTCCATTATTGCATGACTGCAGTAAAAGCCTCTGTGTGGCACCTGTGGATTTTTGGAAAAAAAGAGAACTGCTTAATGGGTCGTAGACAGATGGCACATTCGTGCCACTACCTTTTCCAGAGCAGGGGTTTTCATATTTTTTCAGGGTGCAGAATTTGTTTGTTTGTTTTTTAAAAATCCCAGAATCCCTGATCAAGAAGTGATGTCTAGCGATAGAAAATTGGCTTTTTTTTGTCTTTAGTCTTTCATGGAACCAATCAAGTACACCTTTTGAGAGTACCTGTTCTGAGCTTCATCCGAACAACTGCACAACCCTAGTACATTCCTATTGTTTTAATACTTGAGAATAAGTACAAAAACATATTCTTTGGTGTTTCCTTCTAAAATAGTGAAAAATATATTTATTTTTATTTGTTTGTAAAGCTGTGCTATTCTGGCTGAATTACAAAGCTGCTTATGATAACTGGAATGAACAGAGAATGGCCTTGAATAAAGATGTTCATATGGCTACAAAGGAAATTGTTGATATGTTACCTGGAATACAGCAGACATCTGCTCAAGCTTTTGGAACGCTCTTCCTCCAACTAACAGTTAACGATTTGGGAATTTGCCTGCCAATTACAAACACACCACAGGTAATAAAGATAACAAGAATAAGAGCACTTACTAGAGTTGTTACTTCTTTTCAGGTTAAGAATTCCTGAAATTCTTGATATTTTACTGTTGCAGCAATATTGGAAATGATTGTCTGATTTTAAAAAATAAAAGCAAATAAATTGCCTTGTAGCTAACAACTTGAAATAGTAAAATGAATTTCCTGTTGGAGATCCTTTTAACTTCTTTGCTAGTTACCAGAATGAAACTGTTATTTGAAAGCCAATGGAACTATTATTTAAAATAAATGCTTTATTTAAAGTTTAAAAAAAAATAAAAATCATATTTAGATTTTATAATAAAATGTTTATAGTTTTGAAGATATTACTTATTAATCTATTGAACTTTGCAAATTACTTGAAGCTTTTCTACGTAACATGCATTACTTACACACACGTGTGTGTGTATATGTGACTATCTTAATAGATTATAAAATCAAGCCAGTTTAATCAGTAGTTTATAACATTAAAACTAAAAATATTTGATTCTGTCATTTAATTAAAGAAAAATGCTTGAATCCCAGAAACTTAATATACCTATTTATATTTACGTTACAGTTTCATTTTTTCAAACTGTTTTTCTTCTTAAGTTGCACTGTTAATGACAACTTTAATATAAATATGCTTCATGAGTTCTTTTCCCTCATGTTTAATGGAATGTAACTAAATCTTAATAGTTAGATACTTACATACAGTACATCTCTGAGTTCATTTTGGAACTAAAACTGTATATTTGTGATATTATTCAACTACTATTTAAATCCTAGTTATTTTTAAAATGGTTCTTGGAGCACCTTTGACCAATGTTTGTTTTATAACAATAGACTACACTACATACTGTGTAGTGAATGGATAGCATGAAGAAATGATCCTATGTCAGTCAAAATACCATAAAGGTAAAGCAGATTAAAGATAAATTAGGCTTATTTCCAAATCCATGCTCATCCGTAAAGAAGTAGTACTTTTGTTCTAAGGACAAGTCTTAATAAACCATTTCAAAAATGAACAGTTTTGTTAATTGAAAACCATTTATTTTAGAGTAACTCTGAATGTGTATGTGTATGGCTATGTATAATGAAAAAGAGATAATGGGGGTGGGGAGGAGTGCTCTTAACTGTGAAAACAATATTGAATCTTGATGTTGAAATAAACACGTTTTACTGCTGTAATTATTTTTGTCTTATTGTAGACTAACCATACAGCTGATCTGGACACTGGCTCTGCATTAGTCTTGACTATTGAAAGCACTTTAATTACCGCCTGCTCTTCAGAATCCCTGGTCAGCAAAGGTCATTTTAAAAACTTCTGTATCCGCTTTGCTGATGGCTTTGAAACAACCTGGGATGATTGGAAGCCAGAAATACGAGGAGATCTAGTGATGAATGCTTGTAAGCATTTTTCTTATTAACTTGACTACTTTTTAGAACTTAAAAAGATTATATGTTGGGCTTCAGTTTCAAGTTTAGAGAGGTATTAGATTTCCCATGACCTTCTTAATATGTTGCATCAGAGGAAAATAGCTGACTTTATAAACAACTACAAAACTAGGAATTAATAGTAAGAGTTAGAATTTGTCCAAATACTATATTTGTCCAAATTAATGCCTTACGTATTTTTATAAAGTTTGAGAAGCAAGTAAATTTAATTCAAACTTTATTTAAATGCTTGTACACATATCATCTAAAATAAATCTTTGATATACTGGTATGTCCACTATATTCTTCATTCTTTAGGCGTAGTACCAGATGGCACCTATGAAGTGTGTTCAAGGACAACCGGGCAGGCAGCTGCAGGTAAGATTTATTCTAAATAAGATATTGGCAGAGTGTTACAAATGTTGTCTTAACAATATTCTTTTTCAAAGCAACTTTAATAACTATGAACAAGTTTTTTTCCCCCAGTATTCATTCACCATCCTATTTTGTTCTTTAAATTAAGAGAGTTACATGCAGCAACAACAAACTGATTACTATTGCCAGATTTCACACCAGGGCTTCGTAGTAAATCTTAGCTCTCCAGACATTTAATCCTTTTGACTTGGCAGAAGACTCTCAGATCTGAAGTTTTATTGTAGACAAGAATGAAGCTTGAAAGACTTGTTTGCCCAGTGCAGTGCAAAGAAATCAGAGCCTTTATATATGCCTATGCTCCAGAATTTAAACTGTAGGCTTTTGCTCATGCCTTTCCAAGTTATTCAACTGGCCTCTTGATGGCCTGGAGACAAGAAGTACATAATACTTCCCTGTAGTCTGGAATCCCCAGTTTCTACCTTGTCAGTCTTAGCTCTTATCTTTTTTTATTCTTAATAGTAGTATATTTTTTTTTAACAAATGGATCAGGACAGTATAGAATATCTCAGCACATTTTAGAATAATTTCTGTGGAACATATGAATGAGAATGATGTCTTATAGAGATACGATGTCGACTTTAAGAATAGAGTAATACTTTTGTTTTAATTCCCTATTTAAAGAATGTTGTAGGTCCATCTTTTTTTTCATGGTATTTCTTTTCCATGTATCAACAAGAAATATTTCAAACCATTCTGTGTGGTTTGAATGCAGTCTTTAGCACATAATTGTTACAGGTTGAAAAATTGTTCTGATATTTCTTAGCATGTCTAGTGCATATAATAGTCTAAAAACACTTGTTCAATACTGATCTTAGTTATGCATGCTCCAATCTTTAATTTTTGAAACGTATAATCCTAATACATTTCCCCTTTTTCTATTGTAACAGAAAGTAACAGTGCTGGAACATGGACTCTTAATGTGCTGTGGAAGATGTGTGGCATTGATGTACACATGGATCCTAACATTGGGAAAAGATTAAATGCTTTAGGAAATACTCTTACAACATTGACAGGAGAAGAAGATTTAGATGACATTGCTGATTTGAATTCTGTTAATATAGCTGACCTATCTGATGAGGATGAAATTGATACAATGTCTCCCACTGTTAGCATGGTCAGTGAACTACCCTCCCTTCCTCCCTTCCTCCCTCCCTTCCTTCCTTCCTTCCTTCACATTTTTATAGCCTCCCATCTCACATAGTGACTCTGGGTGGCATACATGATAATAATCAAAATATATAAAAAATCATAATTTAAATTAAAAATAAAAACAAGTAAGTAATATATTATGCAACTCAGCAATAATGCATAAATATGCAGACTTTAGGGTATCAT